CAACAGCTAACACTGTATATATGAATGCTAACACTGTAGATATAGATGTTACCACAGCTAACAATGTAGATATAGATGTTACCACAGCTAACAATGTAGATATAGATGTTACCACAGCTAACACTGTAGACATAGATGATACCACAACTAACACTGTAGATATAGATGTTACAACAGCTAACACTGTAGATATAGATGTTACCACAAGCTAACACTGTAGATATAGATGTTACCACAAGCTAACACTGTAGATATAGATGTTGCCACAGCTAACACTGTAGATATAGATGTTACCACAGCTAACACTGTAGATATAGATGTTACCACAGCTAACACTGTAGATATAGAGGTTACCACAGCTAACACTGTAGATAAAGATGTTCCCACATCTAAAAAGCTAGATATATATGTTAACACAGCTAACACTGTAGATATAGATGTTACCACAAGCTAACACTGTAGATATAGATGTTGCCACAGCTAACACTGTAGATATAGATGTTACCACAGCTAACACTGTAGATATAGATGTTGCCACAAGCTAACACTGTAGATATAGATGTTGCCACAGCTAACACTGTAGATATAGATGTTACCACAGCTAACACTGTAGATATAGATGTTGCCACAGCTAACACTGTAGATATAGATGTTACCACAGCTAACACTGTAGATATAGATGTTACCACAGCTAACACTGTAGATATAGATGTTACCACAGCTAACACTGTAGATATAGATGTTACCACAAGCTGTAGATATAGATGTTAACAGCTAACACTGTAGATATAGATGTTGCCACAGCTAACACTGTAGATATAGATGTTACCACAGCTAACACTGTAGATATAGAGGTTACCACAGCTAACACTGTAGATATAGATGTTGCCACAGCTAACACTGTAGATATAGATGTTACCAAAGCTAACACTGTAGATATACATGTCCCAATAGCTAACACTGTAGATATAGATGTTACCACAGCTAACACTGTAGATATACATGTCCCAATAGCTAACACTGTAGATATAGATGTTACCACAGCTAACACTGTAGATATAGATGTTACCACAGCTAACACTGTAGATATAGATGTTACCACAGCTAACACTGTAGATATAGAGGTTACCACAGCTAACACTGTAGATATAGATGTTACCACAGCTAACACTGTAGATATAGAGGTTACCACAGCTAACACTGTAGATATAGATGTTGCCACAGCTAACACTGTAGATATAGATGTTACCACAGCTAACACTGTAGATATAGATGTTACCACAGCTAACACTGTAGATATAGATGTTACAACAGCTAACACTGTATATATGAATGCTAACACTGTAGACATAGATGATACCACAACTAACACTGTAGATATAGATGTTACAACAGCTAACACTGTATATATGAATGCTAACACTGTAGACATAGATGATACCACAACTAACACTGTAGATATAGATGATACCACAGCTAACACTGTAGACATAGATGATACCACAACTAACACTGTAGATATAGATGTTACAACAGCTAACACTGTATATATGAATGCTAACACTGTAGACATAGATGATACCACAACTAACACTGTAGATATAGATGTTGCCACAAGCTAACACTGTAGATATAGATGTTACCACAAGCTAACACTGTAGATATAGATGTTACCACAAGCTAACACTGTAGATATATATGTTAAGAGTTGTTGATTATTTTATCATTTTAATTAATCAATCTCGAAATATTTGAGACGTTAGAAAGGATTGAAAGTGTTATATCTGATATACACACATAAAACATACGATAAATTCAATAACATCATCACACACCAAATACATGACATGTCATATTACACACAAAACATCGGAAATATCAAATTTATTGATATCTGGCAGAAACGCTTTGCATTTATTGAAATTATCTCAATTTCCACACAATCACAATATTCTACAATTATTCTGTGTTTGTCTGTTCTCCCCGATGTATACACTGTTTCGGACCAGGGATTTCTTCAACATCAACATTTCAAGTGGGGTTTTTATTTCACGAAAGTTTCTCACAATTTATCTCCAATACATCATTGATCTATGTATAATTATACAAGACAACAAATTCCAGTATTTATACTGATGTCAAAAACGAACCGTATAAGTGTAAAAAATTGAAAAGAGGAAAAAAATTAATCCGCCGTGCCGTAACAGCGACTGACACAGCTCGCTGCCGTGACCAGGATTCGAACCTGGGTTGTCGCGGCCACAACGCGAAGTACTAACCACTATACGATCACGGCTGTATTGGCGGATACAAGTCCATTGTTCTAACTAACTACAGGCCGTCTCTCTTAGTTATTTAATGTCTTTCGTCGTTTGACTGATCCTGTTATACTAATTCTAATCATTTTTAAGACATGATTTCTACATAAGATTTTAAAATGTTAATAGCACGGTGTGAATGTGTAGAATTTTTGAAAGATTTTGTCCATGTTTGTATTCCTACTAAAGACATAACCATTAGACATAAAGAAAAACCTTGGATGACTTCTGAATTAAGGCATAATATGAGAACTTGTGACAGGTTGCGTAGTAAAGCTAGAAATTCCTCACTTTAGCATAATAAAGTGAATGACATGAACAGAAACGTGAAGATAATTAACACAAAGTTACTGGAAATGAAAATCTGAAGAAATAAAAATCATTTAGAAATGGGCACAAATTTATAATTACAGAGTCATTCATTCTTTGTATTCTAATTATTTATCTATGAAGTATGTAGATAAAAACGGTATCTAAAAGTAAAATTCATGAACTTTAATATCAGGAGTTATTGTCATCGGATATATTATAAATATAAGTTAATGTGTTTAAAATAATAACAACCCGGGAGATGAATATTAATGTGTGAAATTATAAATGCAAAATTTAAAAAAATTAATCCGCCGTGCCGTAACAGCGACTGACACAGCTCGCTGCCGTGACCAGGATTCGAACCTGGGTTGTCGCGGCCACAACGCGAAGTACTAACCACTATACGATCACGGCTGTATTGGCGGATGTTGCAGTTGCCAAGAATAAATGTATAAATAGGTGAACCAAAAGATTTTGACGTCACGTGACGAGTTCATATAACTATATTTAGATAAGTATTAACAGGGATTTGTGTTTTTGTTTTATATATTACAGTTGCTACAAATTCTGCATATATGTGAATTTATGTCAAGATAAGGACTCTTTCTCGAATGGATATCTATTTATAGGTCGTGGATACCATAACATATGATTGCCTAAGAGATTGCTGTGAGTTTAGCTTCGACATCTAGCTCTGTACACACGCGGCACGAAACAGAGCCGAGAATAGTTCTATTACAGACCTCTAGAAATCTACACTGTAACTTTTTTTTCGCTATGTCTAATTATTGATATATGTATGTGTGTTTATGTACATCAACAGTCTCTTTCACAGAAACGTTTAACTCTCAGCTCTTCCTACTGTACCGAAGTACTTTCACTTTCCCTTCTAACACCCGTGTTGCGATGGGTTTGCACCGTCTAATCACAACCATTTTCTGATACCAGTTGAAATTGTTGTGACAATAAAGTAGGCATATACATGTGTCAATAACCGCTGTCAATACCTATATATATATATTTGGAATTGACAGTGACTATATATATATAAATTTAAAACTAACAGTGACTATATATATATTTAGAATTGACAGTATATATATATAGAAATGACAGTAACTATATATATATATATATATATATATATATATATATATATAGAATTGACAGTGACCATATATATATTTAGAATTGACAGTGACTATATATATATTTAGAATTGACAGTGACTATATATATATTTAGAATTAACAGTGACTATATATATATTTAGAACTGACATTAACAATATATATTTTTAGAATTGACAGTCAATTCACAATATTTATATAGTAACTGACAATTCTAAATATTATAAATATATATCTACTTACTGTCAATTCGAAATATACATAAATTTACTATTAATTCTAGATATATATATATATAGTTACTGTTAATTCTAGATATATATATATATATATATATATAGTTACTATTAATTCTAGATATATATAGTTACTATTAATTCTAGATATATATATATATATATATATATATATATATATATATAGTAACTGTTAATTCTAGATATATATATATATATATAGTTACTGTTAATTCTATATATATATATATATATATAGTTACTATTAATTCTAGATATATAAATATATATATATATATATATATATATAGTTACTATTAATTCTAGATATATATATACATATATACAGTTAGTTACTAGATATATATATATATGTTACTGTTAATTCTAGATATATATATATATATATTTACTGTTATTTCTAGATATATATATAGTTACTGTTAATTCTACATAAATATCTAGTTACTGTTAATTCTAAATATATATAGTTACTGACAATTTTTATCTGTACATAATTACTAATAATTTTATCTGCACATAGTTACTGATAATTTTATCTGTACATAGTTACTGTCAGTTTTTATTATTATGTTTATGGCTTAATAACAACAGTAACAACTGACAGTCTGTTTGGCAACATGACGTATCTATTCAAGAGTACCCTTGACCATGACATGAATCATGAACAGTTAGACGCTTACGCTTGTAAACAATACCTATAGTCTGTACTATAAAAGTACTAACATTACATCCCCCTTTGTTGGGTATTTGAAAACTCAATTAAGTGAATTCTAAACTATAGTAATGAAGGCTTAGTGTTTACTTATACACGCATAATGCCTTATCAAAATAAACGATAATGTAACTTTTCACTGGAGAACAGAATCTTCCAAATTATTTTACCACAGTCTGTCTTGGACCTAGCAAATTGTAACGCAGTCTTGAACCTAACTCATTTACTAGTAAACACTGTCTGGAACCTGACACATTTTGAACACAGTTTATAAATACAGTCTATTGGGTGTTTTGGATATTCGTCCAGATCGCGTACGTATGACTGCTGGATAATCGAAAGTGTCGTCTCGAGGCAACTCATGGCTTCCATAGTCGGTTGTCGGTGACTCTTCATCATGTGCACTTTCCATTGGTTCAATCGTTATGGGGCTATGCGTTTTTACCAAGAATCTGCGATTCGTCCTTATTTCTCCCTGGCGTGTTTTTACTATGTAGGACCTGGGTGTTGGATGGTTCGACTTCACATCTCCAGGTACATTTGTACCTTTAACCCAGACGTTGTCGCCAGGCTTAGGCTCCTGTTGAGCATGAGCTCTGTGACGTTTGTCATAGTTTATTTTCTGAATTTGCTTCCCACTTGTATCACGTTTCCGGAACGTATCACTTCTCCATCGGGGTTTATAGAGCGATGGGTGTGTCACTAGTGTTGAACGTAACTTCCTTCCCATCAATAGTTCGGCAGGGCATTGTCCTGTTTCGAGCGGTGTGGTCCTATACGAGAGCAATGTAAGATACTGGTCTTTAGATTCGTCCAACAGTCTCTTGACAGTTTGCACTGCCCGTTCCGCCTCTCCGTTGCTCTGGGCGTATCGAGGGCTACTTGTCACGTGTTCAAATTCGTACTCCGCAGAGAACTGACGAAATACATCAGAGCAATACTGGGGGCCATTATCCGACCGCACAATTTCTGGTATTCCATGTCTAGCGAATATGGATTTCAGGTGATCAACCACGATGTGTGACGTAGTGCCCATGAGTTTGCTAATTTCAATGTAGCGCGAAAAGTAATCAACCACCAAGACATCGTTATTACCGTTCAAGTAGAATAGATCAGTTCCGACCTCCTTCCATGGGCGTTCCGGTGTAACTGATGAAACCATGGGTTCCGCTTTGTCCGTTCTGTGTTTAGCACAATGCAGACAGTCTTTAACGAGATCCCCAATATCCTTGCTCATTCCAGGCCACCATACTGATTCTGAAGCTCGGCGACGACATTTTACGATCCCCTGGTGACCTTCGTGTATTTGGGACAGTATTTCCCTCCTTAATGCCATTGGAATCACTAGGCGAGAATTGCGCATGAGAAGGCCTTGTTGAACAGTTAGTTCACTTGCCATTGGCCAAAATAGATTTGCAGACTTTGACAGGGTTCTCCTATCTGGCCACCCATGAAGACGATAACTGATAATTTCGCTGCAAGTCGGATCCTTCTGTTGTTGATCCTGTATTTGACTCAGTCTTCCAGACGTTGCTGGGAGTTGCGCAATCACTTGACTGACATGGGCGCGAACTTCCTCCTGAAGTTCCTGTACCTTTTTGTCCGCCTTTGTTGGCAGTGGAGCCCTCGAAAGTGTATCGGCGATACGGATAGACGATCCAGTTCCGGGGGTATATGATATATTGTACGTATAGTTCATTAGCCTCATTCTGAATCGTTGGATTCTTGGCGGAAGCTCATTTAGGGATTTGTAACCTAAGAATGCGACCAGGGGTTTGAGGTCAGTCTCAATTTCGAACGATAGTCCGGTGATATAGTTCGAGAACTTTTCACATGCCCATGTAGTAGCGAGTGCCTCTTTTTCTACTTGCACGTACCTTTGCTCGGTCTCGGTCATTGATCGTGACGCGAACGCGACTGCTCTCCACTCCGAATTTCTTTGTTTTTGGAGCAAGACGGCTCCCAATCCATAAGACGACGTGCCGGCAGAAAGTTTGGTATCGCCACTCGGATCGTACAAGGCCAGTATCGGTGCAGAACTTAATTCTGACTTGACGTTGTTGAAAGCCTGCTCTTGTTGTATCCCCCATATCCACTCATTCTTTGAGCTGAGCAAGTCTCTCATAGGTTTAGTCAGGTCAGCAATTTTCGATGAGAACTTCCCGAGTTGGTTGACCATCCCTAAAAACCTCCTTAACTCGCTGATGTTTCCAGGCGACTTCATGTCAACAACCGCTTGTATCCTGTCGGGATCGGGTCGAATTCCATTCTCGTCTATGACATGTCCCAAGAATGTAACAGTGGTCTGGGAGAACTCGCATTTTTCCTTGTTGAGGGTGAGACATACTTTTTCTAGACATTCTAGAACAGCCTTCAGTCGGGCATGATTGGCACCGAATACAAGTGTATCATCCATTTGACAAATGACACCGTCGAGACCCTCTAGAATCATACTCATCCGCCGCTGGAAAATCTCCGGAGCTGACGAGATTCCAAACGGAAGTCGATGGTAGCGAAATCGTCCAAACGGGCGTGATGAAAGTGGTAAGTAACGACGACTCCTCTGTCAGCGGGATCTGCCAGAATCCTGAGTTGGCATCCAGTTTTGTGAAGATTTTTGCTCCCGACAGCTGGCTTAAGGTTTCATCAACTGCGGGCATCTGATGAATTTCGCGTTTTACGGCTTCATTCAATTTGGTGTAGTCAGTACAAATACGTATTTTCCCTCTTGGTTTGGGGACAACGACCATGCCGGCGCACCAATCAGTGGGTTTCTCTACTTTAGATATAACTCCCAAATGTTCCATACGCTTCAACTCGCCCTTGACCTTCTTGAGGTACGGTACTGGGATTCCCCTCGGAGTAGATAGCGAATATGGAGTACAGTCGGCTTTGAGCGAAATTGAGTACTCGTTGTCCAACTTTCCTAATCCATTGAAGAGTTTAGGGTGCGCTTCTACAACATGTCCAACTACCTTCACCAATCCCATTGCTTCTATAGCTGGTCGGCCTAAGAGGGGCTGTATTTAGTCCTTTGCAACGTAGATCTCCTGTGTTGACGATGACGTTTTCCCTGTCAGTTTCCCATGAAATTTTCCACATACGTGGAGTTCATTTTGGTTTGGGCCTATCAGTATTTTGTCTACTTTCCTCAGGGGGTCAGTTCCTATCTTATTATATAGTGATTCGGGGATCACAGTCACATCAGCACCAGTGTCTATTTTGAAAGTTATTTTCCTTTCCCCCAGTTTTAGCTCAACGGACCAGTACGGGCTAGTATGCGAATTTCCGGTGTCCACCGATCCGAGAAAGGCATAGTCATCATCAGAGTATCCAGATGCATATTCATCGTCAGGATATTCGGTTTCTTGTATCTCGCGGATTTGTGATCTCCCCGGGTTTCGGACCGTCGATCGACACTTGTTTTGCCAGTGACCTACTCTGTTACATCCATGACATTTTGAGTTTCGTGCTGGACAATCCTGTCTCGTGTGTCCAGGTTTCTCTCCGCATCGTTGACATGACTGTGATCGTGGTGTGGGCATTTGATTGGCGTTCGACATTCTACGAGGGCGTCTTCTGTCCGATCGTCTATCTGATTTCTTTCCACAAACATTAACTCTATTTACGTTCGCTGGCTCTTGTAATGGTTCATTTCTGACAACTGCTTGTTGTTTGTGCACGGCCTCATTTGCCTTGCTTGCGTCATGGCTTTCTCCTTCGTTAGATCCAGATCTAATTGTAATTTCTCAGACAATTTTATGATTTTTAAACCAACTACAAGTCTGTCCCTGATCATTTCATCTCTCAGGTCGCCATACCCACAGTGTTCAGACAGGGCGTGTAAATCAGTTATAAATGTATCAACTACTTCCATTTCTCCCTGCTTTCGTTGACTGAATTTAGCTCGTTCGAATATAATGTTCCGTCGGACTATGAAATAGTTGTCAAATTTTCTCTTGGCCACCTCGTATTTCTTGCCATCGTCGGCAGACAGAAATTGAAAGACGATAACACATCCTCGACTTCCTGACCTAGACTGTATATGAGAGTGTTTATTTGTTGAACCACGTCTTTATCTATCAAGGCTGAGGCTACACGGAATCTCTCAAAGCGTTTTATCCAGCGTGTCCATCCCTCAGGTTCCGTAAAGTTAAACGATTCCGGCGGTATGAACTGATAACTGGCCATGTCAGCGAGAAATCAAACACGTGTTTGGCGAGGAACGAGTAAGAGTTCACAAGTGACGAAATCGTAGTGAAACCACAAATTGTTCAGTTTTATGTAGGTCTACTTACAACTTTGTTGGGTTCAGGTTCTTTCAAGTACGTTACTTCTGACACCATATTATGTTTATGGCTTAATAACAACAGTAACAACTGACAGTCTGTTTGGCAACATGGCGCATCTCTTCAAGAGTACCCTTGACCATGACATGAATCATGAACAGTTAGACGCTTACGCTTGTAAATAATACCTATAGTCTGTACTATAAAAGTACTAACATTACATTTATCAGTACATTATTACTGATAATTTTATCTGTACATAGTTACTGTCAATTATATCTGTACATAGTTACTGTCAATTATATCTGTACATAGATACTGTCAATTATATCTGTACATAGTTACTGTCAATTATATCTGTACATAGTTACTGTCAATTATATCTGTACATAGTTACTGTCAATTATATCTGTGCATAATTACTGACAATTATATCTATACATAATTACTGACAATCATATCTGTACATAGTTACTGTCAATTATATCTGTACATAGTTACTGACAATTATATCTATACATAGTTACTGTCAATTTTTATCTGTACATCATTACTGATTATTTTATTTGTACATAGTTTCTGTCAATTATATCTGTAAATAGTTACTGTCAATTATATCTGTACATAATTACTATCAATAATATCTATACATAGTTACTGACAATTATATATGTACATAGTTACTGTCAATTTTTATCTGTACATAATTACTGATTATTTTATTTGTACATAGTTACTGTCAATCATATCTGTAAATAGTTACTGTCAATTATATCTGTACATAATTACTGTCAATTATATCTATACATAGTTACGGACAATTATATATGTACATAGTTACTGTCAATTATATCTCTACATAATTACTGACAATTATATCTATACATAGTTACTGACAATTATATCTGTACATAATTACTGTCAGTTTTTATCAGTACATTATTACTGACAATTATATCTGTACATAGTTACTGTCAATTATATCTGTACATACTTACTGACAATTATATCTGTACATAGTTACTTTCAATTATATCTGTACATAATTACTGTCAGTTTTTATCAGTACATTATTACTGACAATTAAATCTGTACATAATTACTGTCAATCATATCTGTACATAATTACTGTCAATTATATCTGTACATAATTACTGACAACTATATCTGTACATAGTTACTGACAATTATATCTGTACATAATTACTGTCAATTATATCTGTACATAATTACTGACAATTATATCTGTACATAGTTACTGTCAATTATATCTGTACATAATTACTGACAATTATATCTGTACATAGTTACTGTCAATTATATCTGTACATAATTACTGACAATTATAACTGTACATAATTACTGTCAATTATATCTATACATAATTATTGACAATTTTATCGGTATCAAAATGGTTGAAAACTGCATCAAAATCGGTTGGCCCAATATCGAGATATTGACGTGTTAAATGTACGATTTTCACCTGTCCTCCTTCTACTAATTTGCTTTCTCTCGACTATAACGTCACAAGTTCAACGACTGTAGCAGGAACCACGGAAAGAATGTGTGAAAACAAGAACAGACATGGTATGAAAAGTCAGATGGCAGATGCATGTTGTTTTTTTTTAATTTTGAGGAATCAGAAATGCTTCATGTAACATGAAGTAGATGGTACATGTCAGAATTTTCAGTCAGTAAGTTTAATTGAAAGCAAACAGACAACTACAAAGGAAGCATGCAAAGACTGGTAGCATTATATTTTATACAGTTTCTGAGCACTGACCAAAAATTATTTTTCTCTTTATTTCATATGAAAAGTTAGTTCGCAATCATTTTATCTATTCTTCAACGAGAAATGTCTTCCAGATATACTTCGTGCCAGAATTTTATATTCTAAAGTTATATACCGAGGTACCGTAACGGTCCCAAAACAGAGATGTATAAGTGGAAAGGATTTAAATATTGACAAGATGACGTCAACGTTGGTGTGTACTGTTGTTGGTTATTATTCTCTTTATTTCCTCCAACATTGAAAATACATAAATAGAATCACATAATTAACATACAATCAGCGTATAAAGAAAAAAACATTACAATCTCGTGCAATAAAGGTATATGTACAAAGAGAAGTAATTGATTGGTTCGTAGTCTTTAAACATTCGACATAAAAATCATGATATTTATCATCAGGATAAACTAACAACATTGTGTATCTCTTATGTTAGGTCGGCAAATAACGATAAAAAATACCTACAGCTACACATTGTATTTACAGTGTGAGAAATACCTACAGCTACGCATTGTATTTACAGTGTGAGAAATACCTACAGCTACGCATTGTATTTACAGTGTGAGAAATACCTACAGCTACATATTGTATTTACAGTGTGAGATGTTAGATTATATCAACTACTTAGATGAAATATTTCCATAATGATTTCAAAAATACAAAGTGCACATGTATCAATGTTAATTATAAATAGGGTTCTGTTTTTAGTTTTATCTATATAATTACTTAAAGTTTTATCTGTATAATTACTGTCAGTTTTATCTGTATAATTACCGTAAGTGTTATTTGTATAATTACTGTCAGTTTTAATTGTATAATTACTGTCAGTTTATCTGTATAATTACTGTCAATTTTATCTCAGTTTTACAATTACTGTCAGTTTTAATTATATAATTACTGTCAGTTTTATCTGTATAATTACTGTCAGTTTTAATTGTATAATTACTGTTAATTTTATCTGTATAATTACTGTCAATTTTATCTGTACAATTACTGTCAGTTTTAATTATACAATTACTGTCAATTTTATCTGTACAATTACTGTCAGTTTTAATTGTATAATTACTGTCAGTTTTAATTGTATAATTACTGTCAGTTTATCTGTATAATTACTGTCAATTTTATCTCTACAATTACTGTCAGTTTTAATTATATAATTACTGTCAGTTTTATCTGTATAATTACTGTCAGTTTTAATTGTATTTTAATTGTATAATTACTGTCACTGTATAATTACTGTCAATTTTATCTGTATAATTACTGTCAGTTTTAATTATATAATTACTGTCAGTTTTATCTGTATAATTACTGTCAGTTTTAATTGTATAATTACTGTCAGTTTTATCTGTATAATTACTGTCAGTTTTATCTGTATAATTACTGTCAGTTTTAATTGTATAATTACTGTCAGTTTTATCTGTATAATTACTGTATAATTACTGTCAGTTTTATCTGTATAATTACTGTCAGTTTTATCTGTATAATTACTGTCAGTTTTATCTGTATAATTACTGTCAGTTTTATCTGTATAATTACTGTCAGTTTTATCTGTATAATTACTGTCAGTTTTATCTGTATAATTACTGTAATTTTTTTCTGTATAATTACTGTCAGTTTTATCTGTATAATTACTGTAAGTTATTTCTGTATAATAACTGACAATTTTATCTGTGTAATTGCAGCCACCATAACTGCGGACTTCGATATATCTATAAATATTCATCTTCCCCATCCATCTTCACCGTCTGACCTTTCCTCAGTGAACGACTTCCGGATCAAGACTAGCTACTGCCCGTTTACATACATATATCAACCGTAACCCCTGGACTAGTTACAATGTCCTGTATTGATCTGCCTACCAAATATTGGGTAAGGAACGATTCCTACCTTTAGAACCATCCGTGCTTCAACT